ACAGCTTTGACCTACTGATACTACACCAAAGGAGGTACTTAGATGTTGACTTATACTCTAAGAGAACTTGTGTATGTTGTAGATATGTTTGGTTAATTAATACTTGTCTCTACTCTCTAATCTAAGCCAATTTCTTCAGGCAGAGAAGTCCACGTCTGCATTTTTGGCATATTAAAGCCTCCCACTGACTGCCAGAAAGGCCATCAGGTCCAACACACAAAGATTGAAGCATTTTATTCCTCCAGGAATAGTGTTGCATTTGCTAGAAATACAAAACCATCTCAGAACTCAAAACTTGTCTCAAAGACAGAACAGAACAGCTTTCAAGCAAAACAGACACAACAGTTACCATTTTGTGTTGCTTTTGGAGGCCTGCTGATGTAGCTTGCTGGTTTCTGAAGCACTGAGATGTACAGAATTGTCTGCAGCAGAGCTGTGAACATGCTTCTCATACAACCTTCTATTTGAAGAGTCTCAACAAGAACAAAAAACCTGCTTATCCAAATGAACTAACAGATAATTTCATCCTTCACTCAATAAAAAGACTCATTAGTGACTCCATTTCTATGAGGAAATAGTTAAAACCAAACAGATTTTTGTGCCAAATTCTGTTTTAATACAATTAGTGTCCAGTGGTGCCTAAAACTAATTCATCTAACAGCAACTCTAGTGATGGCTTTTTCCCCATTTAAGAAAAATTAACACTGAAGTGTGGAACAAGGCTATGCTAAAGGTAAAATAAACAAATCATTCTAGTCACTGTCAGCCCAGAAAATAAGATCCAATACTGCAATCGTTTGTACTGTTGAGACACTCACTCCCTGGTTTTCATATTTTCAGTTTTTCTTTGCAAACTCAAATGTCTGCGGGGACTGAGAATAGAAGGGAAGTTGTGGTTAAACCCTTCTGTCCATTCCTTGAATAACTGGATGAAAAAGTAACAAACCATGATTCTCTCTTTCAACAACCACAGAATCACAAAATAAATTGTGGTTAATCTGCAGCAAAAGAATTGTCCATTTCTTCCAGGCAGATGAAGTGCAAGATACACAATGATTATTAGAGTACTTGCTAATAATGTAACAAGGGGATTTCCACAAAAAATGTTTAACATTGAAAATCTCATTTAAAATTTAAAAGCTTCACTATTTCTGATCAAAACATTTAAAATAGAATTTTATTGATATTTTAAGAAAGAAGACTGCAACTGACCCCACCTGCAGCCTGAATTCATCTGAATCCTGCACAACATTGCATATGGCCCTTCTGGAAAACATTTTCTTAAAAGAAAAAATAAATAAATACAGCATCATGTATTGATGGTCTAGAGAAGGAATGATTTCTAAAGAGTAGTCAGAAGAAAGCAGTGTCAAGAGTTACATTTTCCAAATTTGCCTAGTCTGAAATTCAACTGCTTGTGTGCACCTTCGCTTCCCCATGTCCCTGTTTACTCAGCCCTAATTGCAACTTTTGTACGTCCTGTGAAACTCCAGAAGTGAGCTGCTGTAACACAAGTTAACTTCCAGTGAGTCTGCTTTACACAGTGACATAGTACTGTTTATCATTCTGTATGCCCTTTCTTTAAACATATATTTTATTTTTTTTTAATGACGCTCCACATTCAGTCAGGTTATCAGTCAACTGTCCCTATGGCCCTGTTTGAACTGAAGTAAGCACTTCTGCATCATCCACCTTCCTTCCAGTGTTTGCTTCCTCTTACCTAGGAGACGGCAATCTTGTCTGCAATTATTTTTTTCCTTTTTTATTCATCATGTTATTTAGGCCTTTTCTCTCCAGACCCTTCTTGAACTGGCAGTGTAGGAGTGAAAGTTGGAGACTGCTGCAACCCTTGCTCTTCTTTAGAGTTATGTGACAAGATCTAGGAAAAAAAAAAAATACTGATCAAAATTTGAACACATTAAGACTTTGTTTAGCTTAAAAAGGAGAACTGATGGCACACGCGCCATTCTTCAAAATATGAAAAAGCCACTGTAAAAGGAAGGGAACAACTGTTCAGTATGTTGATACAAAAAGAAAAAAAATGAGTCAAACTTTCACCTAAGGAGGCAGAAGAGAAGCGTACTAAGTTGAATACAGTAAGAGATATCCAGGGAGGTTCCCTCCTGGAAATCTTTGAATATTCATGAGGAAAGAGATGGGGAGACTGGGTCTTAGTACATGGCAGCAAAATCAAAGGACCAAGCAGATGAACTCTTCACATTTGTTTCTGTCCCCTAGGACTATGCCACAGAAGTGTATAAATGTGATTTTGAAAAATGAATCAGGTTCCGCATGGCAACTAAGGGTAAATGCCTCCCCTTTCTTTTCTTCCCCTGAAATGCTCTGTCCATAAGGTTAGTAAAGAAATTCTTTCCAATTCATATCTGATCATGAGATTAATTCCACGCATGTCAGAAAGATGCAGGAACCAAGAGTCCAGATGAGTCTGCAGGACCACCATGAATACCCTGCCCATTTCTCACTAGCACTGATCTGACATTCTAGAGAAAGGTGACACTTCCAAATCACTCTAGAAATAATCAGCGTTACTATAGGAAAAAAAAAAAATCAATCAAAAACAACAGGAATCATTTCTTTATGACAGATCCCTGGCACTGACACTGTTCAGCTTAGTACTGCCATGTGTTCAGCCCACTGCACCAGAGCACTGCTTTTATGGAACCACTTCCACTGGTCACCAGACCATGTGTCTGTCTGCAGCCACATCACTGCCATTTTTAAGCAACCAAAATGCCTGCACACACAAGCCAAAATCTATGCTCCCTGTGTATGTGCACCTACAGATTCAGAAACGTTTGCAGCCTGTCACCTGCTGTTTATGCATGCTTCTAGCATGAGGGACATGACAGTGCAGGGTGGGAGATGCTTGCAATTTGGTCACATCGTGGTTCAGTTTGGGTTACACAAAAGAGAAAAAACTGTGCAACAATCAGGGATTGAGCATTGGGCTGCAAGGAGGATTACAGGCATCAGGTGAGATAGCTGTTGTAATTCAACTTCTCAGCCTTTTTTTAGGCTGAACAAAACGAGCTCCAGGACAGGTCTCCAGCATAGAATCATAGAATCCTCAGGTTGGAAAAGACCTTAAAGATCATCAAGTCCAACCATTACCTAACCATTCTAACCCTAACTAACACCCTCTGCTAAATCATGTCCCTGAGCATACTGAAGTGCAGAACAAATTACAAGACATTTTCTGCCAAGACAGACCAGTGCATTTGGATTTTGTTTTTGCTTATTTTCTTGTTGTAACATCACACAGTTTCAACTCCATCTGTGACTGCAGTGCTAAGAGAACAATAGAAAGCAGAACACTTGCAGCTAGAATCATCCAAGTTTTAGCTTCCACAAGTCCTCTTTGCAACCCACAGAGCAGGGTCTGTCAGTAACAGGAGTCAGAAATGCAAAGAAGTTGGCCGGGTGGGCATACCACACTGGTACACTTTGTGGCCTAGGAGTACCAAGCATGCACCTTTCTTTAAACCACCATGATCACTTGAGACCTTCCATTCACAGCAGTCCTTCAGGATCAAAACCAGACAAATCTCCAGCTGACGGGATGTGTTACATGAGGCAGAGCTCAGGAAAAAAGCAGCATGGAGCTGTCAGGGGAAGGGGTTAGGAAGAGGTTCTTCAGAAGAGGGCAGTGGGCACAGAACAGGCTGCCCTGGGCAGTGGGCACAACCCCGAGTGTCGGAGTTCAAGGAGCGTTTGGACAAAGCTCTCAGACACACATTTGACTTCTGCGTGGTCTTGTGTGGAGCCAAGAGCTAGACTCGATGCTGCCTGTGGGTCCCTTTCAACTTGGGGCCTTCTGTCACTCCACGAAGGTCCATGCGCTACACAACGGAGGCCATGGGGAGGCACTGGATGTCACTCAGAGCAACGCAAAGGTACTTTAAGGTAACCCCTCCCCCAAACAGTCGCACGAGTAGTTGCAACGCAAGCTGCAGCCCTTTCGCCCTCCGTCTAAGAGGTTTTCCAACGTGTCTTATCATAGAACTCCTACAGTCGGCGAGCCCACTGCCTCAGGCCTCAACGCTCACTGCGCCAACGCCCCACGCTTAACCCACGCACTCCAGCGTCCCCCCAAGCGAGCCAACGCCGCCGCGGATCAGCGGGGAGCGCGGGAAGGAGCGGTGAGAGGCTGACCGCTTTTCCTCACGCGGGGCCACTCCGGCAGGTGCGGGGAGCCGCTCACCTCCCCTCAGCACCGGCCGCCCACTGACGAACGCGGCCTGACAGGCGCGGCCCCCAGCAGCCCCCCTGCTCCGCCAACCGCCGCCCCCGCTGACATCACCGAGCTGGATTTAAATAGCTCCACAGCCCCGTGCCTCCCGGATACAGCGCTCCCCATTGGCGGAGCGGGCAGCCAATGGCACCGCTTCGCGACGCACTCTCCGCCAATGGCCGCCGCGCGCCTCCCCTGTCGCTAAGGGAGGGAAATACAGCGCGGGGCGCGGGCTGTCAGGTGCGCCCGGCACGCCGCCCGCCCGCCGGTGCGGCAGCCGCGGGCGGGAAGCGGGGAGATGGTTGTTTTGTTGTTTTTTTTCCTTCTTTCCCTTAATCCTTCCGCATGTCCTCCCCTCCCACCCTCCGCTTTTTTTTTTTCCGTTTAACTTTTTTTTTTTTTTTTTTTTCCTGCTCGCTGAGGGAGGGAGGGGGTCTGCTGACAGCGGAGATTTTGCGCGTGGGGCCATGGCAGCCGCGCCCGTGGCTTCCCCCCACGCCTCACCCCGCGCCGAGGGGAGCCACGGGGCTGACGAGCGGCCACGGAGGACGCCTGCGGCCGCCGGGGAGCTCCGCCGCTCTGAGCCGGGGCGGGCCGGGACGGGCTGCCCGGCAGCCGCAGCCGAGGAGGTAACGCTGCTGTGGGAGCTGCCGGAAGCGGGAGGCACGGCGGCCGCTTCCCGCCCTTCCCGCCGCCGTGAGAGGAGCGCCCGCGGAGCCCGCCCTGAGGGCCGAGCGCTGCGCCGGGCCCCGAGCTGAGGGCTGTGGAGAGGATCCCTCCCGCCTGGCTGGTAGCGGGCTCCCAGAGAGAGTGTCTGCCCTGCCGGCACAGCAGTGCGTAAAACATTTCTCCTTCCTGCTTCTCCCTGCGCATTTCTGTGGCTTGTCTCGTCCCCCTACCAACGGTGTCTTCACACACTGCCTAAACATCCCAGATTCCTCAGTGCGCACCTCATAAGGCAGCGAGCAGAGCGGGGCTGAGGCAGTTGGGGATTTCATCATGGATTCTGGCTGTGCTGTGCTGTGGGAGGAGATGCTGAACTTTGTGCCTCCTCGCTGCTCGTCTCCCCCTTCATCCCCAAACCCAGAGCAGGGCTTACGTCACAGTTCTGTGGGGAGATGTTTTTCTGAGATAAAAATTTCTATGCGACCAGAAACATTATTGTAGGAGAAGCTGTGAATACACTGGAGAGGCCCTGGTAAAATAAAATAAAATAAAAATCTGAAGAACGCCCCCCAAAAAAACCTTGAAATAGAAAATCTGAAGTGCATGCCATTTATGTCTTGGTGATATAATGAAGTTTGTGTTAGGGTTTCTTTTACTGTGGGAAAGGGGAGAGTGCAATGAGAAATCTTCCTTTCCCCCCTGCATCCCCCCCTGTATCCCTCTCCCTCCTCCCCCCCATATTTCTGTTTCCCCCTTACCTGCTCTCCCAATCGGTGAGGATGAGGATTATGAAGTCTTGTTTCCCTTCTGTTGTTGCAGGATGCCTTGGGTGATTCAGAAATGAGCAGTGGGAGCGCTTAGTGATTTTCACAGGAGGAAGACAGCAGCCAGCAAGGCCCCGGCTCCCTGCCATCTTGAGCCCTTCCTGGTGATTTGCAGCAGCACAGATAAGTACGGAGCACTGAGGACTGAAGTCAGCGTTTGGACCTGACTTTATTTTAGTATAAATGACCACATGAGATTCATACCAATGAAGATATAGGAGTAAAATAGCAGAAGTACATAAATGCCTCTTCTAAAAGTGCAGTTTCGAGTATTTAAGGTTAATGAGATAGATAGAAAAGAGTCCTCTTCACGTGTGTTTATGTTTCCATGTCCTAACAGAAAGTGACGCATTATCTTACATACCAGGTGTGTTTTGGATGAATCTCTATCACCCTATTGATATCAGGGGAACTGAATTGATTTAAATTAGTGAAGGAACTAACCCAGCTAAGTTTTAAATAATTGCAATAATATTCTCTGTCTCTTTCAGTCAGATTTGCCCTTCGTGTTTAGTTGTTTCATAATCCTGCAGCTCTCCATTTCATCTTTACAAGACCAGAATCTCTATTTTCCTGTGAACAGGGAAAAAAACCCACCACCGTAAAAGGCAGTCCTTTTATATTCCAATCTTTATTTCCTTGTTTAAATAAACTTAGGGCACAAAAGCTCATCCTGTTTTGTTTTTTTTTTTTAAATAGGCCAATTTGGTTTCATTTACTTACACCGATATTTTATACAGCAAAAAGCTCTCGGAAGGAGAACGTGTTCAATGCACCAGAACCCTTCAGGGTTTTGATAAAAGGCATGATATCATGAGTAACATCTCCACTTCTGATATTTTTTTTTTATATAGTAGCAATGAGATTGAATCACCATTTTTAGCTATTCTTCAGCAGAACTCGTAATCTATCAATGTGTCAGCTCAACAGCAGTTTTCTCTTCACACTAATGTGAACCAGAAGGTCCAGCTATCGTAGATTTTGACAATTTTATCTGAGATTGCATACATTGCAGAATTTTGAAGAAAATGAATTGTAGGACCTACTATGTTTTTCTAAGCACGTACAAAACGTAAAACACGTCCTCGAAAACATTTTAAACTCATTTTACAGGATCACATTCCTAAGTTAGGTGTTTCATAAGCATTAGGTTATAAGCACTCTGAAATAACAAGTGTAAAATCATATGTGGGTCCCCATATCTTTTTAAATGTCTCAGATTGCCCTCTATGTTGTTACATAATGCACCATAAAGAAATACATGCCTTCATTCTCTTTAAATCGCTCTGGCATGGATAGCGCTAAGCCTTCCTTCAAGTCCTTGTTATGCAAGTCCTTGCTACTGTTAATAGCTGTCAGCTCAGCGTGGTTAGTTAAAAAACAAGGTAACCACAGTTTTTGTGAAGCTCATTGCATTGCTGGAATTCACACTGACTCAGTTCCAGGTGCTTTGTTCCCTTTCTCAGCTATAAATTGAATTATTATGAGCAAACAGGTTTTTCTCCATTAGAAGAAAGTCCCATTCATTCCACTGCATCACAATCTAATCTGCTTTTTGTTTAGTTGTGCCTATAAGCGTATTTTGTTATGAGTATCTGGATGCACTTCTGCAGTGTTAAATTGCAGTGAAATAGACCAGAATACAGTAATATTTTGAAAGTTTGTAAAAAAAATTAAAAAAAAAAAAAAAAATGCAGACATATAACTAAGTTCTGAAAAATACCTAGCACAGTAAAAATTCATGACCAGTCTAACAGTTATTAGGTAACAAATAATCCATATAGGCACTAAGCAATATTATGTAAAGTGAAATCTGTGTTACACAGTATAAGCAGCATTCAAGTGAAATTGAGGCAATGTGTAAAGAACAGAAAAAAATAATTTTTAAAGCTATGATGTTACGATTTTCTGTATTTCTTTACTTGGGAAGTGGAATTTTCCTCGTCCTTCTGTAAAGGCACAGAATTAATAACAAGCACTTTAAAGAATCAGGTGCTTTGCCTGCTATTTGCTCTTTTATTTTTCCCCTCTGTTGAACAGATCATTTGTGGAAGAAAATCAGGAGAAACCGAGAAGGGTTTGCCAGTATCTTGGAGATCTTTCCAAGTAGCCTCTTCTTTAACAAGGCCTCAGATTTAAAGATACTGAAACAGGAATATCTCAACATTCATAATACTGCCTACATTAAGAAAAATTTTGCTCTCAGTTTATACTCGTGTGGGTATGCAGGTAGCAATTCAGTCAAGCATCACCAGGAAAGGACACTTCTTTCATATTCTAGTAACTGATCTATTAGTTTAACAATCCTCTGTGTCATTTTCCCTATTTTTTTTTTCCTTTTTGTTACTCTTGGAAATTTGGGGTGCTAGCTTATTTATTGCTTTCCCTTCTCCTACTAGCACCCATTTTAAAAGGCTCAGCTCTATTCTGCTCAGGTTGTGTTCTGACACATGGAAAATTTTTATATTCTTTTTGCAAGCAGTAGGGTGGTGAGAGAGAGGTCTGCACTATAAAATAGCAAACCTACTAAACTGTACTCAGTGGGAGATTAAATAAGAAAGAAGAGAATGGCCGAGGCAAGTCGTTTGTCACAGATGTTCATGCAGTCCTGTTTTTGGTTTTAAGCTGGATTCATCAAACGTGCTAAAGAGTAATTTTTGCCTGATATGAAGTTTCTATCCAAGGAGACCAAGTGGGTTCAGTTTAAACTGTGATTTGAAAATGTAAGGAAATGTTACCAGTCAGACACAGGAAAGTCGGGCTGTTTTTACAATCTTAATTCAATAGTAAGAAGCAAAATGTATCATAATTAAATTGCTGTGTAATGTAGTTACATTAGTTACAAAATCCCTTTGTGTACTAAGTACAAATATTTTACCATAACTGTCAGAATTCCATAGATGATAAAGGGTGCTTATGCTGTCAGAGGGTAAGCATGAAATGCCGACGTGATAACGTCTGATACCCAAATGGTGTATGCTGCTTTTGCAGTATTTCCTAAGTTTACAACGGAACTTCAGTAATAAAACTTAGTGAAAATGCATGAGATAAGCATGAATGTAATACGTAGTTGGTTTTTATTGTTTAGATAGGCTGGTTATCGTATTGAATAGAGTAGAACACAAATGAGAAGGCCCAGAAATAAAAGCACTTTGAAAAGGGGATTTTGAAAAATTCACCATGTCAAACTCTTTCTTAGTTCTTACTAGTTTCTATCTTTTTTAACATATTTTCCCCTTTTTAAAGTTCATTTCTGTCTCTATCTCCTCAGAAACTCTGTGCTCCTTTCCCAAAAGGGGAAGCATGCTATGGTTACAAATGCCTTCTGTTGATTGAAGCAGAATGATTTTTTTTTCTTTTCCCAAATGAATATATATGTATGAATTTGCTAAACTTTTCCAGCTATATTTACGTATGTTATTTCTGAGAAATGATGAGGGATGCCCGACTTACTGCAGCGTACTACGATGTAGTAACTGTAGTCGAGCATTTTTCTTATTTGTAATCAAATATACAGAATTGTCAGTGTATTTGCTTTTAAGTACCTGGAAGCTGAATTAGAAACAGGATTTTTAATACAGTGAATTTGACATTTCAGTCTGCGCTTGCTTTTTCTTTTCTAAATGAGCACTGATTATCAGAAAAATCGAGGCTTACATAATCATGCCATACATTTTTCTGCTCTTCCTTCTCTTCCTCCACTTTAGCCATCATTTCCCTCTGAAAAATGAAAATTTTTGAATAGAGAATTACTATGACATACTAATTATATACACATTTTCATGGACTGCATAACCAGGCTATTTGTATGTATTTAGTAAAAGAAGGCCGTCAACAAAATATTACAACCTTGAGATGGCTAAACTTTAAAATTACAGTAATCATTAAATACAGCATTATCTTGTTGATGTGCCTGTCTGTGTACCACTGAGTCATTTTTCTTCCCTTGGAGAAGAAGGGTGCTTCTATTTATTCCTTCTTCAAGATAACAGAAATAAGAACGTCCTACCCCATTTTTTTTTAATCGTCACAAAGCTGATTCTCCTTCATAAAGAAGCTGGTTTTAATATTCAGTTTTCAGAGGATGAGAAGCAATTGCTGTGGACAAATATATAGCAAATGAATTGAAGCTCTGTCCTACTAGAACAATTACAAATTGAATTAATTACAAAGAACAATATTAAAATTTTAGCTAAATATGTTAACATGAACTCCTGCCCATAGGTGGCAGTCAGCTTTCACTATAGTAGAGATGCCAAACTTTTGGTTCATGATATTCATACTTATGCTGATGTAATTTTAATGGAGCATGCATATGTGTGTGTACAGAAGTATGCAGATCTCTGCATTGGGAGAGTGGGGAGAGGTAAAATTAACCCCCAGATTAATTATTGAGTACGAGTATTCTTTTACTGTATACAAGCAAAGTAAATTCTCATTTTTTTGAGAGAAGTTCCAAGCAAAAACACACAATTTTTTATCAGTCTTGCTGATACTCACCTAAAAGAAGTAAAGAACACTCAGAAATGAGCAAACCTGCCTCTGCAAATTGAGTGGAAAGGCAAGTATGTGGCCAGCCTTAGACAGCATGACCTCATGCTATGCCCAGTCCTCCAAGCTACGTTCCTATTTCATAGTTCTTTGTCTGTAAATTACAGAAGTGCTGGAATGATGATGTTGTATCCCAGAAATCCCAGCAATACATTTGGCAGATCCAGAAAAGATACTGGGGGCGAATGCATCCTCTCTGACACGGAGAGCCAGCAGCCTGCAATTCTCTTTCCCTTTGCAGAGCTTCCTTAGACACCCGTGGCAGCACTGCACAAGGGGAAGATGCTGCCAATGAGAGCAAAGACCCACTCAATTTTGTGCTCAGCTTTTTTAGGGCTTTACGTGGCTTATGAGTATTTCCTTTTGCAATGGAACTAAAGAGGCACTTGAGACCCCACCAAAACTGAAGGGGATAGAAGAAGCTAATAAGGTCTCAGTTTAAACCAAACAGAACTGGTGAAACTACGTGTGACATACTAAGACAACAGAGCTCTCATGCGAAAGGAAGGCTGAAAATTAAAATTCCTGAGGAGGTAAAATCATATTCTTTTTACTGTTACAGCTACACTAGGGTACTTCTTAAAGATTAATCTAATTATACGTCAAGGTAGCCCACTGTATGCATTTCACAGAGGACAGGAAGTAGCATTTTAAAAAAATGAGAAGTGGGAAAAATACACAATTATTTGTTGCTACCAGAGTGTTCTACTGCTATGCAAGATTAAGGGCTCAGAATTGAACAGAATGGTGCAGTATTATTAAAACAGAAGGCCTAATTCTCCTTTTGCAAGGAAGGCAACTATACACACTGTTGTATAAGCTGAAGCAGTCGGTCTGATTTCATAGTTGAACAGGGTATTTTGAAGTGTATGCAACCATTACATGGCTAATTAGATACTTGCATATGCACAGCCCCATTTGCTCCCCCAACTACAATAATTATGAGGATTGCACTCCACGTTAATTTACACTCTTGTGTAACAGAATTGAATACAAGATAGCAGGTGGTGATAAACTGGCTGGTGGCAAATGTGTAAATTTGATATGCATTTTGAAAATCAAAGCTTTCATACTCAGTGCTGATCTTGACATGGAAAAGACGGGTGAAGAACTCCTCAGC